GGCTGAATTACAAAGATTGACACATATAATCCCAATGTGAGTTCCCCTAAAACCGAATCTCATTTGATTTCCTTGAATTTCCAATTGCTGGACGGTCGGTATATTTCTATTCGAATCACTATTGGAATTTTTTTTAATGTTTAATACAGAGGAAAAAAATAGAAAATAAACCTTGTTGAATAATTCTTTTTAGCCACTGTATATTGACGTTTTATACTACGGTTTGCTTCCTACCCAAGCAGATAAGAATTTCTGAAAATGCGTTTAAACACCCTAATCGTAGTTCTCGTTTGAATGTTTTCACGCCCATTTAGAAAAAACCGAAACGAGCTACTTTGATCATGAAAAGTACGTAAAGATGCTTTAAAAGGCTACTTTTGTATCTGAAAAAGATGCAGAAATTCTTTCCGCAGTATTTTGCAGATAAAAATGACTTGTTTTTATGATGAAAGTGGCTAATTTTGATATCTTCTGAATGGACGCGAAAATCCTCAAACGGAAATTCTTATCTGTTTGAGTATTGCTTAATAAAATCTTTTACATATAATTTTAATATTGTATAAAGTTCACTTTATTTAATAAAATTTTTAAACTTTCGAACATTAACGAATTTATATTTTATCAATAACTCTTTTAATTCGAAAAAGAATTTTCGTACAATATGAATACGTTTCTACGACATTTTTCATATTTCGTATACACACATTCAAAAAAAATGAACAATTAAAATAAACAATATTTTTATTTTTATTTTTATTTTATATATATATAAACATAAAATATTTATTCATCCATATTTACATTAATCGGACATTTATACGGACCAAACATATATTTATATGCATTTTTTTGTAACCAATCATGAGCAATACAATCCACAAATGACATACGTTTTTTTGGATCTTTTTGCAAAAGCTAAAAGAGAAATTTAAACATTCGTTTTTCTTAATTTTAATCTTACATTATCAATAAATTTTCTTGCAAGTTGAGAAAAATAATCTGGAAATGTATAATTAATAGTTGCAATTTTAACTTTTGTTTCATCATCTGTTCCTTCAAATGGTGCATGACCAGATAAAAGTTCATAAGCAAGTACACCAACACACCAATTATCAACTTGATATTGATATTGTTTATGACCAACAATTTCCGGTGCTAAATAATCTAATGTACCACAAGCTGTTGTATTCCTTAAACAAGACAAAAAGTGTTTTTTTTTTCTCTCATTATTGTCAAATATTTAATTTACATTGTATCAGCATGACGAATTTTTGTTGACCAACCAAAATCTGCTAATTTTAAATTTCCACAACAATCAACAAGAACTATGAAAACAAAAATTTATAATTTAATTTTTTTTTTTTAATTTTTATAATTACTATTTTCAGGTTTTAAATCTCGATGAATTATACTTTTACTATGACAATATTCTAATGCATGACAAATTTGATATATATACTAAAATAATTTAATTTTTTAAAATTTTTGAATGAAAAAAATCAATATTTTTTGTTTTTTACACTAGCAGCTAAACGATTTGTAAAACGACGTAATTTTTGTAAAAAACGATAAAGTTGTCCATGTGGAGCATATTCAAGCATAAAATAAAAACGTTTTTCATCATGAAATACATCATACATGGTTAATATAAGTGGATGATTTAATTTAAAACCAGATTCAGTTTCAATTTTAACTTGTTCAGCCATTGAATATTCATTTATTTTACTTTTATGAAGCATCTAAATTTATTTAAAAAAATAACAAAAAAAAAGAAACGACAAAAATAAAAATTTACTTTTAATGCACAAATAAATTTCGTTTTTTTTAATCGTGCTAAATAAACTATACCAAATGCACCTTTACCAAGTGGTCGACCAAATTCAAAATCATCAATTGTAAATAAACGATCTTCACTAAAGATAACATTACAAAAAAAAATTATCTTTACAGATTCTTTTTTTGTTTTTGTTTCTAGTCAATTTACTTTAAAGCCATTTTTCGTACACTATTAGCCATGGTTGTTTCAAGATGAGATTGACGAATATATTTTTGAAATATATTACTTGACATTGGTGGAGATTGTAATTCATCATCTTTAAGACTATTTAACCAATTTGGTAAATATGTATAGAGAGAATCATCCTCACATTGTGCTACATCAAATGGAATTTTAACAGCTTCAATATCGTCATAACTCTATGAGATATTTAAAAAATAATTAAACATATAGAAGAGATTTATTTTGATTACTTGTTGATCTTCAGAAGTTTGTTCGAACATGATGATAGAAAGTCTTTTTTAGTGCACAGAAACTGTCATGTCAAACATCAGAACAAAGAACACAGAATTATGCGTAAGAACAAAGACGCGCTATCGGTCATGATAGGTACATACAGAAATATTCTTGTTTCAATTAAAGCAAAAACCAAACTTTTTAAATATTTTTATTTGATTCTACTTTTTTTTTGCAAACATGCATTCATTGTTTGATATCTTGTGAATAGATGTCGCTAGAGTTGAAACCAGACTAGAGCTAGCCCTCTTCAAGAAGTAGTGTTTTTAACATTAAGTACCCTAAGCAAAAGCAAAATATTGAAGGTACTTACGATTTGGTAAAAGTACTGTGTTTTGCCTTTTGTTGAAAAAAACATAGTATTTTTATGATACTGTGTCAAATAAAAGAAAATACTTTGCTCATTTATAACGTCATTATTTAGACGCTGGTCGTCTTCTCCTTGTTTATATATTCTAGTTGTTGATGAAGTTAAGAAACATTTTGTCTTTCTCTTAATGTTATCGAGTTCTTTATCGTTATTGAAATTTCTTTTCATCAATACGGTTTTCATTTACTCTTTTTCTTGTCCCTGAGGGATATTTGTAATTATCTATGTTTATTCTTTTACATTTTGGTTCATCGGATCATATTTTTCATTAAAAGATACGAACAATAATAACTTTGTCTTTGTTTTTCTCGAGTCCTCACTTCGCTGAGATACTTTGTTATTTAAAACAAAGTACCAGTTCATATTCTGTCATTGGAAAATAAGTACATAGACGTACTTTGCTTTGGGTTCTTTTTAAAAACGCTGTCAACAAGACAACGGGTGTGGGTGTGGGTGTGAGTGTGAGTAAGATTGAACGGAAGAATCCCACCCGCACCCCGCACCTACACCCACACCCTAGTTTTAAGAAAATCTTTGTAAAAAAGATCGAGAATATTTTATATTTCTAAAATATGAACAATTCGAATAGTTTCAAATCAATGATCCTCACCAAATCAAATTTTTCTTCATTTATTCTCTATAAACGAGTTTGCGACAAATGCTAAAATAACACAATTCAAATTAACTTGACAAAAATAATACTCATAATGAACACTAATCAAAGAACTCTTCATTGACATGAACATTTTTCAAAATAATCAAAAATATACAGAATGTCTCTCATAATAGAAGAACTCTAGTAGAAGTGCGACACTTTTTATATCGTAGAAAGGAAGACGGAGACAGAGAAGTTATTCTTATCGAGAAAGAGTTGTTCAAAATATGGTCTACGGTAAAAGATCAAGGTCATTTTCATGGAAATGAATGTGCTCTTTGATGGAAATTAGTGAAGGTTTGACAAGTGAACATATGAGAGAAAATAAATAAGAGTAAGAATTGATCACTATTATTGATATGAATCGCTGATATGAAAAGATGTATCAAAAATATTTTCTTATCTCTTTGATGCAAAGATGTCAATGAGAAGTTTTCTTCTTATTCTTTTATTTAGTGTTCATTTTAGAGGTTGTAAATTCGATTTCCAAATCTTTTCATTTTTCAATGTTTATTTCATATTGAACTGATTTTTTGTATTCAATAATCTTCATTTCCGCTTCTTAAAATTGATCTTGTTCTTTAAACTTACTTTTATTTTCATTGATGAGACCACTATTCATCAATAAATGCAATTTTTCAATAGCGAATAAAGGCTTTTATCTTTGTTTTTCTTCTTTCGAAGATGATGATAAATATAACCTGTATTGGAAAAGAGATTTTCATTTCTCTTGTAATCGTATTTGTTTACTTAAAGGACATTCTTTTTAACTCTGTTTTTATTAATTCAATTAACCTTGACAAAGAAATATAATTTTTCTTTCAATAGTATATATATATATATGTCATATGCGAAAGATTCTATATGGAAACTAGACCATTAGACTTAGTTTCTTGCGCTCGTTCGAATGACGAATTTTTTATTAGGTCAACATGAAATAAAAACTTTGAAAGCAGTTGATATGATTTAATGTTTATGCGTATACAATGATTAAATGTATTTTTACTGTCTTATCAATATTTGACACTGAAGCGGAAGTTTTAGGAATATTAATAATCGATGTAGGTTAAGAATCAAGTTGTCTATCAAGAAGATAAAGACAATCATAGAATATTGATCAACAGTGAGGTTGGTTATGTTATTATTTCAAGATCTATATACTTGCGAAACTAGTTCAATTATATATCAATCAGTGGATTGCATGGTTCTATGGGTATTCATGAAGGCCAGTTAGGTGCTATCGACGTTTTAGTAAGAACCTTTTGGGTGTTAGTAGGTATATATACATATAGACACATTTGAATCGGTCTCACGTGTTTCTAGAGAAAAGTTTTCTTTTTAAAGTCTTTCAGAGATGGTACTCATATCAGATCAGAATGTAGGTTATGGAGTTCTGTGAGTGTTCGTAAGGACAAGTTGTGATGTTCGTGTGGACTATAAGAGAGATTCTGGGTGTTCGTGTTGAGAGGGGTCATTTTTTACCCTTTGCTGATGATTTTTGTTTCCTCTGACTCTTACAAAGTAGGTGTTCGTGGATGTTTGTGCACATAACTCTCCAAGGTGTGGGTGTTCGTAAGAGTCACTTATATGCTATTTGACAAAGTTGAGTGTTTGTAATGTTCGCGTAAATTAGTAATACCTTATCTCTAGTTAAGTTTTTATTCATAATATTAAAAAAAATGTTACATGATATTACAACTAGCATCAACAATAGGAGTCTTTATTTGCATTTTGGGACCAATATGAAAACCAAAGCCCAAAGCAGATGCTTGAGCACCATCAAGCCCAACGCTAGCACTTGTATCGAGGCTCAAACCAGCACCAATTTGTAGAGGTCCTGCGTGTGCTTCTGCTCGTACTAAAGATGCATTGACACCAATTGAATTGTTGAGACCAACTTCATAATGAGCAGATGCTGAGTACATTGAAGCACTTGCACCAAATATACTATAATTGGCATTTGCTTCTGCAAGACTAGCACCAGCATATCCACCCGCTCTAAGTGTTCTTTTTGATTTATATGTACCAGAATAAGCATTGTATGTACCAGCACGTGCGGAACCACTTTGATCGATTCTATCAATTGTATCTAAAACACTACCAGCTGATACATGACAACCTGGTTTCGGTATTAATTGCTGTTTAACATTATTTCTTATCATGGAACTTGCTTGTTTTCTTGATTCGGGTATATTTCTCTCAACCACATTTTTCGTAACTCGAACTGAACTTCTTGGCATAGTTGTTAATCGTTGAGTTTGAACGTTCTCTGGTGCTTCCCAATTTTTCGGCCTTGGATTGCCGTCTTTTTGTTGACGAAACCCAATGTCATATTGTTCCAACTTTTCTTTACATGGTGCACATGGAGGTTTACTCGTTCCAACTGCAAGTAATTCTAATCCATGTTGTTGTGCATAGGATATTATTTGCATTTCAGCATGATCACGTGCATTGTTAATCTCTGGTGGTAGTTTATTTTGATGAAGTTTCTGTTGTATTATGTCGATATTAAAATCACTATATTTATTCGGTTCAGAGCAAATTGTACGTTGAATTATTTCTTTGTGTCTATCATGTAAACCGAAGTCGCTATAAGTAATACGATGATTGTCTGTTTTTGATGGACTGCGTGCTTTAACATTCCCACTAACAATCAAACGGTTGTTGCTTGTAGCACCAACAGCAATACAATCATAGTTCTTTTCTTGAGCTGTCCAACCACGATTATTTCTAGCTGATATATTATCAAGTAAGTTGCTTGCACATGCATTTAAATTGTTTGAATTGACTGTAGTGTTTGGAATATTTTGTAATGTTGCATTATTATACTTTATGAAATATAAACGATCTTCTGTATCGGTATCTGTATCGGTATCTGTATCGGTATCTGTATCTGTATCGGTATCGGTATCGGTATCGGTATCGGTATCGGTATCACTTGAATCATAATAATAAGACATTTTCTTTAAAGATATTTTAATAGCTGGAAAAAAAGTATTGCAATCAGTTTGAATATAATAAGTTATAAGTCACCAATCGGTTAGCGAAAACAGTATTTTTAAGTCTCTATGAGACCTTAATTCTACTTGTATATAGTTTTATATATGTCTATCTCTTCGCAACAATGTAAGTACTATATATAGGGCGATAATAAGATGGAAAAATCCAAGCCACATGACTTATGACAGGAAAAAAGCTGAATGGTGTAAGTACAAGTATACAACCGTATAGATATTATAGTGTGATTCACTTATACTGGATATTTCTTTCGTTTCTTTCCTTTATTCCACTATCTTACAGCCAATGTTCTTAATAAGAACAGCCTTTTCAGAGATGTCAGCAATTTCTATTTTTACTGATTGAATTTTTATAATTATATGGATATTTTTGTATTTTTGAGTGCAGAAAAGTTTGCTGCATCGAATGGTGCAAAAATCATTTAATTAGCTTGTAAATTAAAAGAGTAATTAGCGACAGTTTACGGGCAATTGAATTTTATTCTTATTAGAGCACTGTTCCTAATAAGAACAACAAGCCAAAAAATAGTTTTGATAAGAACAACCTATGTAAAATACATAGAAAATTAAAAAATTTTAGTAAATGAACCTTTTTTAATCTGAACTTGAAGATTTTGACATACTTCGAGAACAAAAAGTCTTCCTTATCAATCGAGGAGCCATAATCCCAAGATTCAGATTTTTTCAATTTAAAATACAAAAGTTATTAAATTTTAAACAATCACTCGTCTGTTCCTATTAGGAACACTGTTCTTAATACGAACAACTAGCGAAAATGTTCCTAATGAGAACATACTATACAAAATTACTTGGAAAATTTTTTTTTTTCTTATTTAAACTCAAAAATTTGTTGTGCTTTTGTATGAAAAAATCTTCCTCTATTGATGATGCATTAATTTCCAGAGGTTCAGCCCAAATGAAGGCTTTTTTATGGACAAATGACATCAATTCAAAATTACGGAATTATAACGAAATAATATATGGACTTATATCTGATAAATCAATCATAATGTTGTATAGGTCATCAAGATAATGCTTGTACGCTATATTCACATTCGTTTTTTTATTTATTTGTTTGGTTTTAAAAAAATCATGAATAATTCAATTGAAGTATCTTCATCAGTCTTATATTCGGCAGAGCTTCAATTAAAGAATATAATTGTAAGCAAAGACTAAAGAAACTTCGATTTGGTAAAGTAGTCAGACTGTAAAACCTCAGAAAGTGTTACTGCTAACTGGCTCGTTTCTGTTTGTTAAGTGTCATATAGCTTTAGAGTTGTAAAAACTAAGTTATTAATATAAAGTTTCCGGAATAATTAAACTTGTAAGGATGTATATGTTTGTTGAAAAGAAAACAAATAGTTACTATTTCGAAACAAATATTTAAACAAAGTTCGTGTTCTATACAACAAATTGAATCGCATTATAGAGAATGATTCAAAAGATAGAAAGTATGGAAATGAAAAATACTTGAGACTGATACACCAAAGCATACTAAGGAAATAAATTTGACTAACTACTTCTTCTCTAATACAAAAGATTTATTATAGAAATCGATTGTCTGATGAGGATGTGGGGTGAGATGTAGGAGTGTCACACTTACCACTTACCACTACTTCCACTTACCAGGTAAGTGGTAAGTGTTGTAATTATCGAAAAATTATCGATATAGAACTAATAAATGATTGTTTTAACTATTGATTTTTATTCTTCCACAGTAATCTTCATTACTTATCACTTACTAGTAATAGTAAGTGGAATATGACATCCCTATGCGGGTGTGGGTATGACAGTGTGCGGATGAGTGGGTAGATATGAGTATGCATGTGGATGTGAAATTAATATCCGCGTCCACATGCGTACACCTATGCCGCACATCCGTACCACGCCCAAATCCATCCATTCGTACTCACACACATCATCCATACCCGAACTCACAGCCACAAATACCCACGCTCATTCTACACACACCGCATCCACACGCTCCCACTCACACCGACACCCACTCCGAAAAAATCATTTAATTAGCTTGTAAATTAAAAGACTAATTAACGGTAGTTTATGAAGTGGCGTTTGCTCATTCATTACGGTGAGTATTCGCCACGATAGTTCTCCCTCATTGTCTTTCACAATCGTAACACTAGCCAAGTATGCTTGATCTTTTCTTGTTCCCATAGCAGTCAATGTTTATAAGTCGTTTATTACTCTGTCATTAGTGCTTATTATATGGTTATTTTGACTAGATAAAAATCATTTGTTTGAGATGACAAAAGACACAGAAATTCTTTCAATATCTCAACTTCTTTCAAATGTTTGTTAACCTCATAGGAAGAACTACAATTGTCCAATGGGTTGTTGGTCAAATCATCTTTGGTATCAGCTTGTTTCATAGACAAAATTCTTCAATCTTCGATTCCTTACTCACAACAACTCGATGACGATGAGGTCTTCACTTTTAATCATCTCGGGTAAAAGACGGAGACCAAATCATCAAAATCACCATTTTTCGGAACTTACTGAAGTTGAACGAAAACTCATATTGAAGATTCAAAAACATTTGTATCATCTCGAGGCGTGGATCTTGCTGACATAGTTCGAACGAATTTCTAGTGACTTGGCCATTCTCTAGAACACTGCAACTCAATGTACAGGTTTCGTTTCAGCAAAAAACACGCAAATCATAGAGGCAGAATTCGTACGCGACTGGCTACAGAAATACTTTGTTTCACATCGTATTAATAACTAATAAACTAATATGTACTTTGGTGATCAAAAGTCAAAATAAGAAATCTTATTGTTTTGCTTACTGTCCTGTGTTCAATTCTGATTCGAGTCCTGCAGAACACTCAAATTGTCACATTGATCGGGATCCAAGGAAGTTCTGGTCTATTAGTGACATTCATCATCATTTTCGATGATCATCAATAGTAGTTAGAAAAGTAGATATCATACTAGCAACTACTGATTCGGTGGACAGCTTATGTAACTCAGCTAAGTTGACAATTTCTCAAAGACGAACATGTTGATGACCAAGTCAAATTGATAATATATTATTTATTTGTTCATTTCATTTCGGCCGAAAAAAAATGTGATAAGGTTTATTAACATGATTATATTGTAAATGATTTTGTATAAATAGTACGTCTATGATATTTGACATTGTATCTTATATACAGAAAAGTTTTTATCCCTGGCAAAAATGCAATGAAAAAATCGTCCTGCAAAACAAGATGACTGTGTGATAATGTCTTGTAGGATACAGGGCAAGACAAAGAAAATCATTAGGTAACGTTCTCTGATCCTCAAAATTAGGTAAATAAATGATCCAATATTTTGCAAGATTGAAATATTTATATGAAGACGAATCCGTTCTTTTCAGTTGGATATATTAAAGTTTAAATATCACTAAATAATTTGAATCAGAAATGACATGTTCAGAACAACTCATAAATATATAAAGTTTCGTAATAATGATTTTAAATCTTCTCTCATTAATCAAGGATTACGTTTCTAATTATATAATTCTTTTTTTTTGACATTTCATGTCGTGAAAACCGACTTAATTTTAGCGATAAATGAGAAAAACTTGAATTTACCTACCTATTATTTTGTGCCTTTCGTCATGCTACTTATTTTTTCATATTAATCCAATGCATCTCTTCTTAGATTATAATACACAAGTATACTCCAAGATAATATATTCTTTGCATATGTATTGCATTCAAAGTAAACGACAGAAAACTTTGAATTATGCAAAGTAGAATGACTTCAGTTTCAATAGGAAGAAGAACAAAATCATAATAAAAACACTCGGATGCAATCATATCTAAGAGATCATTGCATAGTACAAGATATTAGATTCTAAATGTATTGAAGTCTAGTATCAAGGCATTTCGAATTGGTAGAAACTTATTTGAATCTATGTACTGAGAAAAGTTTTATTAGCAAGAAAATTTCGAAAAATGATAAGTCTTGATTCATTAGGTGGATTATATTGCAGACTAGAGAAAACGCTGAAAAGAGTCGCATTCAAGGATAGGTTTTCTCTTGAATTTAGGACATTTTAATGCGTCTTTAAGATCGAAGCTCGAGTTTTAACTTTCTACAAGAAAACTTCTAAACAAGATTAATTCATTGTGAAAATATCAGATTATCAAGTATCTCATTATTGTACGATATAATTATCAGAACAAAGTTTTTTTCATATGATACAAGTTTCAATATTGGTATCTGAAGATATAAAATCTGACACTTACACAATAAGTTAGTCTCATTGAGAACTTTATTTGTGCAATATTGAAAACCGAGAATCGTCAATTGATGTTGAAGATGATCTGAGAGGACTCATGACATTTTGTTGACAAAACTTTCTAAAATGTCCATAAAGCAAGAAGAAAGACTCATGAGCACAATTCTTCGTAAATTTCTTCGAATCTCAATATGATCTACCTAATGAATTAGAATCTATCTCAAAATTGATATGCTAAACGGCAACGTTCTCTCGTAAATCCAGAACGAAGATCAGCAACAGAAAAAGGCTGCTTCTTCATTTGTTGGCAAGACGTATTATTTTTTGTTTTATTTACATAGTAGAAACTGTATTGTACCAGGTCGAATGTGCACAGTCGTAAATGATCATATACTACGAAATACATCGAAAAACGATCTTCGTGTATGACTTCATATATTCCAACACAAATCATGTACACGATCACATTTGGTCGTAAATCGAATTACACTTATCAAGCACATAGCTCTTGCATTTTCAATTTGGCAACAAATATAAATTAATTAAATAATATTTATTTTTTTCATTTAGAATATATCGAACGCTATGTTGAACACTAATCATTTATTTTTAAACACCCTGAACAAAACTTACGGAGTCCATATATGCTCGTATATGATCCCCGTTTACGATTGTTTATGAGAGATCTTCTTTGACCGGTGTAAATAATTTTTATTTCTTAATTTCGATTGATTCAAACAATAGATTAAACAGGAATTCTTTTGAAATAAAAGAAAACTAAAACTTCGCGTGTTGAAATCTGAGAAAGTCCCTATCTCTCTTAACTGGAAAGAAGAATACTCAGATCGAACAAATACGTTTGTAAGCGACCATAAATCATCATTTTTGGTGTATTACATGGCTCTAGACGACATAAAAATGGTCATTTACGGTAATGTTATAGTAATTGACAGTTGTACGTAATGATTGAGCTGGAGCGATAGTACATTACATCGTATACAATCATGTTCGGTCGTAATTTATACTGAATATGACCATTTACGATTGTTGTAATGCTTGTCTTGAGATAAGTCTAGATTTCTCTCGATGAAATTCGATACTTATGATAAACTTCAGACAGTAGAATTTTTATTCTGATTGATTTCTTATTTATATTACGAGGTATTTCTACAAAATATAACATTTGTTCTTTTGACACAACAAAAAAAAAAAAACAAAACACCACCAACAACAAGAACAACAATGATGAAAAAAAATATATATGTATATTTATAAATAGATAATGATAATAATCAATGAAAATATATGTATACATTTTATTCTTTATGTTCTTGTTTTTTAATTATTATCTTCGCTTGTTGCTGATTTTAATTTTTTTCCTAAACGAATTGGTAATATTCGTTCAATATATAAAATATGTGTTAATTGATCATCTTTCATTGAATAATTAGCTTCACCTAATTCATACATATTTTTATCTGTTACTAACATAAGAAAAAATTTTATTTGACAATTAAGTATATCTCCCGATCTAATATTACTTAATATATTAAATGTTTCACCAAAACGTATAAAATCTTGATAATGTTGTGATGATGTTTCATATGGTTCACCAGTTATTGTTGTTGATAAAACAAATCTTAGAAATATAAAGGCACTTTTATTAATTATATTATTAAATGATGATAATAATAATGAATTCATATTACGTAAATTTTGTACATTTAATCTAATACTAAATGTTGATGGATTATATTCACAACTAAAATGTAATATTGGATAATTAGGAGTTTTTTCATCATGTAAATCTTCTAAAGCATAATTTGTATATGCAAAAGAACTTAATGATGATGAACCATATGAACGACGAGGTAAATTTTTATTTATTTGATTATCAGTTGAAGGCAAATTTTGTGTTACTGTTATAAAATTTTTATTTGTTAATAATGGTGGTTCATTTGGTTTAATACTTGATTGTGATAGAGATTTATTTATAGATGTATGTGGTATTGTATTTGATTGTGTACGATAAAATGATGTTGATAATTTACGAACTGATTCGGATAAAACTGGCCGTAAAATTTCAAAACGTTTAGATAATAATGGATCCCATATAAATTGTTTAACAAGACATACTGTTATAACAATAACAAATGCAATTAAACATGATAATGCAACATATGCAGACATATTAATATATGTCGATTGAGAAGTGTTTTTCATTGAAAATAATAAAAAACTAAAATTAGACAAAAAAAACATTAATAATAATTAGAAATTCTAATCACATTGAAATATAAAAACAATATATATATATATATATATAAACATAAAATTTGTATTTGAACTCTTTTAACCTGTCATTTTATATAGAAAAAATTATTTTCCAAATAAATTTATGTTTTTATTGTACTTGATCGATGGCATCGTCTCGTTCTTTTTTTATTGCATGTTGATTTCTAAAACAAATATTTTCTTTGGTTTCCTATTCTCATTCATCATTAGTAAAAAAGAAGAACAAATAAAAAAGGTAAAGATGAGTTCAATCAACAAGAATAATCATAGACTCTAACATCAATATATAAAACATGCAAATATATACTTCCTTGCTTTTAACATATAAATAAATTTATATTTTCTTCGAATTGTATAAATGATTAAAAATAATCTTCCGAAGAAAAAATCCTAATGTCTAATCCATATTATCGCTTTCGGGTGCATTTAGTCTCTCAAGACTCATAAGTGTTTATATGTGTACTCTTTACATTGATTCTTTTTCTCTACTAATAGAGAAAAAAAAAGCGGAAAACAGAAATTTGCTAATGAAAAATTGCCATTAGACCGTAACGAGAGATAGATAAAAAAAAACAAAAAAAAAAAGAAATCTATATTTATATAAGACGGAAAAGCATGAGCTCATATACCAAGTAACATGAAAGAATTTTTCTAGTTAAAAAATAAAACGAGACTGATATATACAATATTTGATAATTGCACGGTTGACTTTTTCTTCAATCCTAATTAGTTTCGTGACAATAATCGTACACTTAATCACGCATTAGTTTGAATTAAGATGGTAAATAGATAGGGATTGACATATACAGATCAATAGATAAATAATGATGAGAGAGAAATAACAGCAACAACAACAAATTTTTATTATCATTCATCATAATTCTATCAACCAAAATTACGTACTTACCAATATCTGGTGCATTTTTTTTTCAAGTTCGAATTTATATATATATATATATATATTTTTTGGTTGAAAAGATTTGGTCGGTTTTTTTTTTGTTTATAAGAGAAGGAAAAAAAGAACTTAAGATCGCTAAGAAACAACGGAAATGATAAGCTCTGCTTAGTAACTAGTGAAAACAGATTTTTTTTTTGTTGATAGTTTATACAAAAATGGCTTTTGCTGTTTTACTATCGTCTATTGTAAATCTTTAGTAGTGACCGAGCGGAAACGGCGAATCTGCGGATAAATATAATCAAGTTTGTCAAGCTTTCTCTTTCTCTCTTTTCCACCCCCATTCGTCTCGTTGATGGTGTTGATGTTGTTGTTGTTGTTATTCTGCTTTTTTCTCTCTCTATGTTCGATCTAATCTTAGAATAAACCGAAAAAAGACTGGCGTACGGAATTGAAGAAACGATAATGACATTCGACGGCATAGAAAGAGTGAAAGAATGAATGAGTGAGTAAGGGTGGGTGGATAGATAGATCGATGATGGATGGATGAAAACGCGAATGAACGATTCTAGTTCATTGCATCGCTACAAACTTGTTATCATCAAGCATAGAGAAAAAGAAAAGAGAATAAATATAATATTGTAGCACATGCCTAGGCATTGACAATCGATTTCTTATAATGAAATCACATATCCGTCTTTGTCATACATTCATTCCAATACATATATAGAGATAGAACAACAAATCACGACGCACTCAATTGGTTGTTCATGGATCGTATATAAAATTCATGATTGGAAATGACATTAAAACAGAATATCAAATATCAATCGCGTCAAATTATGATTTATAGAGGCAATTGGTTTACGGTTTATTTCCTTTAGGAAAACTACAAACATTATTTTGTGTCCGTAAATAAGATTTTGATTATAGAGAACAATGAATAAAGCAACGCAAGTAGATATAATTACTAGTTTTTTATTGGCTGCTACATTTTTTTTTGGAATTTTAATATTTATAAAAGTATTTTATGTTTTATATAAGAGTTATTTTTAAATGACAAAAAGTTTTTAATCATAGCTTTTGTTTTTTGTTTTTCTTTCAAAACTTTAATCAGACTAATAAAATACAAAACAAACTAAATCTATGCTTTTTATATTATAGAAAAGAATAGTATATTATTTATTCTTGATAATATGATAGACGTTGAAATGATTAAGCATTACTATATCATTATTGAGTCTATTGATGCAAGTCTAACATAATAAAGAAAAAAAAAAGAAGACTATATGTTGGAATGTCATTATGTAAGACATATCTCAATCTTCATATTCTTCTTCTTATTATTATCAACTTATTTTCAAATGAGAAATACAGCCTTCTATATACACATGGGATCATTTCAAGTAGATTTTTTTTTAATGACTCATGATTCTAATTGTTATAAGTAACAAATAACAATATATTAAATAGTACAAAATATACAAAAATTCTGTATAAAATTTATGATGATAATTTTTTGTAAATCATTAGAAAAATAACAATAGTCTTTTATTATTTACTTATTCACTTGAGTTCATATTGTGTTATATTTTTTCTTGTCTTTATTTTATAACTAAATTTGAAATAAACTGTAGAAACAATATTTATTTAATCTTAACAATTAAAATCAATTCAATACTCTATAAGATCTTGAAAATTCAAAATTTTTGCTTTCAATTTATTTAGTGTCATTCGATAGAGCACATCGACTTACCTATAAAAAACTTCTTTTCTAACTTTTTGGAAAAAAAACCATATTCTAAATATAAGAATTAGAGTCGTTCGTTGTCACAGATATGTAATTTTCACTTTGTAGAATATTATAAAGATTATTTTCTGATTCTGTCGACAAAATAAACCAAAACACCCTTATGTACAGAAGGTTTTTTTTCGATCCCTTTTGTCAGCGGAATCAGGAAATAACTCTTATGATGTTCTACAAAGTGAAGATTACATATTAGACGACTATAATCATGATATTTACAATCTAGTCTTTTTTTCCAATATTTTCAGAAAAAATTTATGTCGAAAAATTGGAAAAGTAGGTTTTCGCAGGTAAGTCGATGTACTCTATCCAACAACACTAAGTAAATTGAAGACAAAAATTTGCTCAAATTTTGAGTTTCAGTAACGTTAAATTTTCTGTTCGCAATCCAAATTTTTTTTGTTATCATTGTATAGTCTGAAGTAGTAGCTGTCTACTAAGTACATTTTGAGATCGAAACATTGTCTTTAAATGTTAGAAAATCAAATTAACGAAAACTATACATTGTTTCACATGTTTCTTAAAACGAATTTTCGAACAGAAAAATTTAAAATTATATGTGTTTTTTCTTAAAATAATGTTCTGATAATGTTTAGCAGGTCTTACAAAATTTATCCTAACCAAAACAACACGTTTTTTGATAGGACTTTGAGTATTTTGATTCTCTTAGGCGAAGAAAACAATATTTTTGAAAGGGAAACCAATATACACTCCAATTTGATCCTAGTTGTTACAAAAAATTGAATTATGGCTCTTGACAGTGAGGAAATTTTTAGGTCATTCTTAGTCCTTACGTCCCCTATATCTCATAGAAGAAAGTATTTAGGAATTCTGAGTATATGACAACTTTTGCTTTACTAATCGAGTTCCATTAATTCTCAAACTTGCCGAATTTTCGGTCGAGCCGTTCTTAATACACTCGGAAAAGGACGGAGATTGTCCTTAAGAAAAAAAAATAAACAAAAATCGAAAGATAAAAAAAGCATGAACAAAAATAAAACTGGTCCTATAATAATTGCACGTTTCTTTCATTAACCATATTTCCTACACATACTTAAGCATTTACTTTCATCCTAAAATAATTCCATTAGATAATTTATCTAATTATTGTTAATGATATATAACAACATGTTCTACTTTATATTAGTTATTCAATTAAAAAGAAGAAATAAAAAGAAGAAATGTTCGTATTTTCAATGATCGTAAAATCAATAAAGTTTTCGTATAGAAAAATTATTCGTATGGTTTTACAATTAGAAGAGAAGCTTCAAAATATTATTATGAAATTAAAAGTTTTTATACAGAGATAAAATCAGCAATAACACAATATAACTGTTTTCGATTGTTGTTTTAACAAGTTCTTCTCCGCATGAATATATATAAAAATCTTAACTCGTCTAGTTCATATTTAGTCAATACTTAATTAGCTAATTAGTGAAGAACTATATAACCATATGATCGAATAGACTCCACGTTAGGAAATATATCTATAATGAAGTTTCTAGCAGGATTAGAATCGAAAAAATTCCATATTCAAACCTAGTTTTCCTGCGGTCTGCTCATGATCTAACACGAGACTTCTTTATTGACTATCATCTCAAGATCCCCAAGAAGAGTTTTCCATTTTCTGTATTCATACGCATTCATATTACTAACAACGAATAAACTTAATTGTTTGAAAAAGAAAAAACTTTCCGTAGAGCTCTTTTATAGCTTGAAAAGTCCTCTACAAAAATACACTATTTAATTTTCAAAAATACTATTTAAACTTACAGTATTTATAAAGAGAAATGCAAGCAATGAAAAGCTTTGTTCTTTTTTTTTTGTACCATGTCACTACTCAAATATAAAAGAATTTCAGAAAATACCAAAACCAGTAACTGTTATCATATAAAGTGCATAAAGTCGCTTGAAAAGACAACATTGACATTTAGACAAAGTACTAAAATATTTGTTCTGCAGTGTTTTTTAGATAAAAATAACACTTTTATGCGTGTTGTATATCAAAAACATTGTAAGAAAATTCTTTAGACATTTTCCAGATACAAAAATTGCCTTTTTTTTTAGTATGTTCATGCATACTGTATAATGAAAGCAATCGGATCTGGTATTTTCTGAATGAACGCGAAAATGCCCCAACGGGAACAGCATCTATGACATTTACATGCACTGTCAGAAATTCCTATCTGTTTGGATAATGATAGTCTTTTCAATAATAACTCAGCGAAACAAAGGTCTATAGGACTAATTTTTTTAAGACTTAACATGCATTAGTTACATCAAAATTAGCTAAAAGGAATTTCAAAGCACCCCAACGGTATAGGCATTTTTATTTTATGAAATCGCGTCTCTAACGAATTAAATTGCGTACATATGTGTGTCCGTTTGCCTGTCTATTTTGAAATCGATAGCATGGCGAAGGGAAAATCTCTCATGCACATGATTGAAATTTCAAAAGTTTTATTATTATGACCTCCATTGTATATAACAGAGAAGATCTTTTACTAGTCACTATGACTCTAAAAATGATGGATATTTAATCCTATGATTATAAAATTCATTCTTTGATATGTCGAAAATCTAATAAAAAAACTATTTTATGCGAATATATTGCAAATTTGAATCAGAAACTTAGTTTTTTTATTAGAAATAATAACTCAAAAAGTTCATATTATTGTAAGAGATTAATTTTGTATTGATTCTTTTCAATCAATAGCATAACATTAATAAAAATTTATTCAACAATTATTCTTTACATATTCATCTGATAGTAATGAAAAAACAACAAAAGAAAAAATATTTAATTTCTATTCGTTGATAAAATCGACTCGTGATCAATAACACTATCTGCTATACTTCGTTTAACATCAAATTCATAAACATGTCGATTTTTTCGTCTAGCTGGTCTTGGTAAATCAGTATGATGACAAGGTAATGGTGATGTATAAAAATAATAATGTAATAAAGCCTTTAAAATAAAAAAAATAAATAATTAAAAAACAATAATAATAATTTGAATACCTGTTGAGCACCAATACGTTGTTTAGATGGATAAACAAGAAATTTTTTTAATAAATCAATTGCATCTGCACATGCTTCTGGTACAATATCTTCAAATTTCATTCCTTCAAAATCATCAAAACTAATTTTTCCATAATCAGGTAATTTTTTCATTTCCTGTTGTTTTTTTTAAATTCACAAAAAAAGTAAATGAAAACTATTTCATTATTTATCTAGTTTTTACCGGCCATTGAGCTTCAGTTGGTGTTCCAAGAAGTTTACAAACACAACATAATTGATGGATATCACTTTCACCCTAAACAAAAATATTAAGAAAAAAAACCAATTCTCATTAGATTATTTACTGGAAATAATGGACTACGATTAATTAATTCACCAAATATACATCCAACAGCCCTTAATAAATTACAAAAAAAAAATCAATCGATTTGTAGAAGTTAAAAAACAAGACGCTCTTCATACCATAGATCAACACCTTCATCATAACTACGTGAACCATAAAGAAGTTCCGGTGCACGATACCATCTAAAGTCAAATATAATATATTCTATTGTATCTGTTAGTGTTCAGTCTGAGATCCGACATTAAATGGACATTAATTCAAGTCATTATCGGATTGAAAGGTTAATACAATCCATCTCGAATCGCTTGACATATTAAATTAAAGCAAAAGTTAACTGTGGTACATGAAATTTTATTTTGAACGAAATACAATATCTCACCTAAGTAAATAACACAAAAAAAATCAACGAAAGGTTTTTCGATACTTGTTTTAGGATAAACAGTGTTTCTATTTCATCCACATTTTTGTATCTTAGTTTTTATTGAATACATTCTTTGGACTGAACCGACACCTCTATATAGAGTGCAATATACCTGGTCTCTAATTTGAGACTTCCCTGAAGTTTTTAGACGACTCTTAGATTTAATGTTTTGTAACTGATCAATTCGAGAATGGCCTGAACTAATATCTGTCTAATGTCGGATTCTAGATTGGCATTTGCAGATCTGACGAGAAAACCTCTTCAGGTTTAAATCGCTTTTCGATAAAGACAATGTTTACTTTTTGAGTAATAGAAAAGTCTAGAATGATTTGGTTTTTCGAGTCTTCGTTCTTGAGATAATGAAATCTTACTGGATTTTTCAACAAAAGACTGTAGTCATGTGAAAAATTGACTCTCGACTTCAACCTTTGCACGAACACAGTTCTCAATGAGATTAGTTCATTGGACAAGTTGTCACTTTCCTAGTATTTCCTATCCTAAGATTACAATCCGTCAGGTCTAAAATTTTCGGATCTGAATCAACCCGATGGACTGTACCTGAGATATGAAGTATTCGAAATTCTCTTATGTGTACAAGCAAATTTTGTTTATATACTTACATCTTCAGAAAAAAAAACTAATAAATAAGCTAAAAGTTACATATTCAGTTAATCTTATTAGGCACTGTTCGTACAAAGTTTGAAACGAAGGTCCCAAAAATCAAACCATTCTAGACTTTTCTATTACTCATGAAATGAACATTGTGTCGATTGAAAAGCGATTTGACACAAGGTGATTGAATGCTGACATATACATATTATGATCTACCTTGTTGCTACTTGATGACTATATTGTCGTTGTGGTTTAGCTTTATCAAATATTCTTGCAAGACCAAAATCAGCTATTTTTAAATGACCTGTTGTACTTATAAGTAAATTAGCTGGTTTTAAATCCTAAAAAATTTAAACAAAAACACAAACCATTAATTTTGATTCTGTTTTTTTTTTTCATATTGATTATTTTAAATATTCATACTCGATGCATTATTCGATTTTCATGGCAAAATGAAACACCATTTAATAACATTCTCATATAACTTTTTATATGAGAAGTTGTTAATGGTTGATTTACATTTCGAATAACTTCAGATAAATCACTTAACATATATTCAAAAACGAATATATAACCCATACCATGTGGAAATACATCAAGTAATTTAACAATCTAAATAAATCGATGAAAAAAAAATTTGTTTTGTTTTTTTTTTCTTTTTTTTTTACAAACATTTTCATGATCTTCAATTTCTTGCAATGCTTTAATTTCACTGAAGAATAAACAAAAAAAAATAAGATTGATGGAAATATAAAGAATAAGCATACCGAATGATATTATTTGGAACACCTTCATCCGATGGAGATTTCATATGAAGATGAACACGTTTAAGAGCAACTATTTCATCACTCTAAATAGACAAATGAATGTTTTCTTTTTTTGGAAGAAAAATAATGTAATATTTACTTGAACATGTTTACATTTGTAGACAGTTCTAAAAGTAGAGAATGAAAATTTTTAGTTTAAATTAGAATAAAAGAAATACTAGAGATAATCATTTTTGCAATTGTAAAAGTGTATTCAATGTTTGATAAAAGTCTTTTGTAATAAATGAAATTCAATAGGATCTTATCTCGATCCATAATAGTTTCAAAACGATTCAACACAATTCTGTTAGGGTTATCGATATTCAACGGAATGCTTCCAGTCTGATTGATAAATGTATTACTTTTTGAAAATTCATATACTCAATCCATATTCAGAAAGATGCCAGAAATTGTGATTTTCGTTTGTACATAAAAAGTATTTATAGAGGAATCTTCTCAGATATCCACTTCCGATTGTAGAAATTCCAGCGCCTATTAAGATTTAGTGGAGCTATTGAATTTTGAATAGGTCTATTTGTCGGCGACCCTGTATTGGACTTCAGATTTTTCGAAAAAGTCGTGGTTTTTAATTTTGTCGTGAAACTACTATGATTCCAAAATTTCACGTTCAGTAGTTCATATAAAGAATTTCAGAGTCTGAAAATTTTCTATCTTCGAGCTATGAATTTTTTCAAAAATAGACAGTTTTTTGAAGTGTACTGAATAATACAAAAGTATTTTGAAAAGTTCGAAGTTCGGAGATATGAAATATTTAAACACTGATGTCCTTCATATGACCTATGGTATGTGAATCATTTAAATACTTTTCTACTCCTTTGGACTCAAATTCAGGTAAAAATTTTATATGTTTTTTTTTTCTAGTTTTCATATTTGTTTGCTCTTGGTTATTTTTTTTTTTTTCGTACGCAATAGACTATATTCATTATCTGTTATGGCTATGATCATATGAATGCTACCACCCACTATAATTAACCCCATTTTAAAAAACGATAGCCGTTAACAGATAGAAGTGATGATTAATCTTATGCACGTGTGATTCTTATCTTATCTTTAGCTTTTTAGATCACTGTGACGCATTTCTGATATCTTTCTTGTTGGAATATTTGCTTATATATTGTAGCCAATAGAATTCATTGATAAGAAGTCGATATAGCTGGCCGACTTGTGTATTAGAAGTACATGCATAGTTAAAGATTAATATGAGCGAAATTTTTTCTGTTTGTAAATATTTTTCACATTGAATATTATGATCAGATGCGTCGTTCTTTGCTGTACAAAATGCATATAGACACACGATAAGTTCTCTTTCTCTTCTGAGAAATATATGGATCAGAATGAGGTAAAAGCGATCTACTTACAACTACTTTGAAAAGTCTAGTCGACTTTAATTGACAATAAAAATTAAGTCCTTCATGAGATTTTCTGAAAAATTACGCCATAATTTCCTCTACAAAACATACATATTCAATAACTTTTGAAAATAAGTTTTCGACATTAAAATTGAGATCACTGTCAAAAACTGAGTCAAATGACATATACTTTAGTGAAAAATGTTTTCCAGTTTAATGGTACTTGTACCTCACTTCAGTATTTTTTTTCAAGATTTTTACATTTTATGCTCCCTGAATATGTTCTTGTTGAAATATATATCATTCGACTTAGTTTTCAATGCTGATCTTGATTTTAATATCAAAAACTTATTCACACGCAAAAAAAATTTCAAAAGTTTTCGAATTAGTGCGTTTTGTAGTGCGAAAAAAATCGCATCTAATCACAGTATTCAATAGGAAAAATATTTTCAGACAAAAAAAAAATTTCGTTCATGTCAATCATTAGCTACGCATGCATCTCTAATACATAAGCCGACGAGTCATACCGGCTTCTCATCAATGACAAAAATTTGCAGATTTCGACTTTTATCATGTGAGATCGTTTGAAAAGATTATGTCACACTTTTTTACATACATATTTTCTCTCAATCTTTTCATAAATCTAGTTCCATGATCTATTAGTAATAGTATACCATTACATAATCTATAGTGATCAAATAATAAAAATTCGTTGCAAGAAAAATGATTAAACAAAATCATTCATCAACCTGAATTTGAGACGAAAAGACTATAGTTTTAAGAAGAAATAAAAAAATATGACTTTTCCGAAAATTTGAAGTTCTATACAGAGTCTCCGACAAATCAATCTATTAAAAATTCAATAGCTCTACTAAATCTTAATACAAACTCAAATTCTTTTAGAATTTTTACTAGAATATTATGTATTATCTATAAGATTAAAAAAAATCCTTGAAATCAAAGAAAGATTTCCTTATTAGTTAAATATCTTGCTTGAGTATAACAACAGCAAGATGTTCCTAACGCAATCTATTCACTCGAAAGATTCATACTGTATTTTTACGTTCTCTCAAAAATGTCTTTCATAATCCTACAGTAATCAAATTAATAACAAATGTTAACATATACTTTCACAAAGATTTCTACGAATGAATAATCTAACTACACATTATTATTTATTTATAAAACTTCTGCTAATAGATTTTAGTCTCAACTTTAAACTAGACTAAGATTTATTCAATTAATATATGATTAAAGTTTAAGAAAATTCGAATTAAATTTTAGTTTCATTTTAAGTAATTTCATTTTAATTTTATTAGTTGATACAACTCCAAAGATATTGAAGAACATACATTCATTTTGTTATTTCATATAGATGATGAAACTGAATAGATAAAATAGTTTATTTACAAAATATTTCATATATATATATATTCGATTGTAACTAAGAAAATAAGTATTACTTCTTGGTTTTATAATACGGAAAAAAAACTCGATTTTAAAATGTTAATATTAAAACAAGAATTTACCCGTATGCTCCTTTACCAATACGATTTAATTTAATATATTTGTCCATGTTAACAACAATCTTTATTTTCAATAATACAAATAATTAGTATTGTTATCATATCCTATTTCTTGTTCTTAGATACTCCTTCATTCTGATGTTCTTTTTATATTCTCTATTTGGATTGGTTAAATGATACGAACGAATAAGAAATTATTATTGTTGCTTTTCTGTAGAATTTGCAAGATAATTGAAAAAAATTCCTTCAACATGAAACGATAAGTAAATTTTCTTGTTTTATCTCAAAACCTTAATCTAGTGTTTTATTTAAGAATTAAATAAATTTTGAAAACGGTTTTTTATAATTTATAAATTTAATTATCGAATTATAATTATATTCAAAAATGATTTAATATATTTATTGAATTATAGTTCATAAAAAAAAATTATACAACATTTGAACATTTCATGTGTGATAAAAAAAAAAGTATAGAATCATTTCTAGTGAATGGATATACAATAAACATAATATATTGATATATCAGAAGGAAGCAAGAGTAATTTAAATAGTTTAATAAATATTTACAAAAATTTTCAACTTAAAAATGAAAAAACTGCGAGTTAGGCAACTTATATTATCAGCTCTAGTAATGGCGTAACCAGAAGAAAAATTCTAAGCATTTTTACAGTAGACTGAGTCATTTCTGATTACGTCAAGACTCTTGAGTTACTTTAGTAAATAAACGAAAATGTGTTCGATCTATGAAAGAGTTACTTTTCATGAACCTGTAAGGTTTTGAGTTAAGAATTATTGTGTTTGATTTCTTCTAGCGAAGTTTATACAACTGAAACATGAAATATTGAACTGCTTCTTTGCTTATGAGCTTAGATTTTTTTACCCATTAGTAGAATTTGATAAGACTCAGACCGTCTTATCGTCATTCGTTCTCCTAACCTGTTAGTCAAAACTTACAGCCGTATTACTGAATTTTTGGCCTAGGGTAAGATATAGTCAACAAAGTGAAATGAAACTATTCGAATCTGAAATTCTTTTTTCATAAACAGTTATGATTTATTGCATACACCAAAATGTTCAGTGAAACTAAATGTCTCGTTATTAAGATACTTTCAAATCGAAATATCTTCTTGTTGAAGATATTTTGCTTTTGATCAAATATTCTCTAAAACGTATGCAAATTTTAACTGACAGATTATATGCATGAAAAATGATAAAGCTATCCTGATTGTATTATGTCCTTCTTTTGTGTAGATTAGATTCTTGATTGAAAACTTTCATCTTGTTTTAGATTTTTTTTTTTATTAATAATTAAATCTGATTATTTTTCAGATGGTATATTTCTAGAGACAAAAATCAAACAACAAATTATGGCATTTAATAAGGCACAAGTAAATGAAATTTTCATAAGAAAAAAAAAAAATCAAAAGAATATCGAAAATTTATTTTAGCAATTAGCAACATTTTCTCGTGTTTGGTATTTATTTGATGCTAAATGGCAATGTCCACATTTATCTGGTGAAAAAATTGCTCGTATTTTACGTGGTGAACATAAACCAATTTATTATCCTGGAGGTAAATTAGAATTCATTTATTGAAATAATACGTATATTTTTTTTTGTGAACGTTTTCATATTCATGATAACTTGACATCATAAATTATACGTACACTATGAAAAAAAAAGATTCTTCACAGAGAGAATAAAAGAAGCGCTACATTGATTAAAATATGTTAATATTTTTATAAAAAGTGTTCTTTTACGGGTAGACAAGTTTTATTTTGATTATAGGAAGAAGGAAGTTTGAAAAAGAATATTTTAGTTTGTAAGGTTCTTTTTTTTAGAATAGTCATACTAAGTTGATGAGGATGTATGCTCGATTTATCAAACAAAGGTTATTTTGTTTTTTATTGTCACCTGAATAGACATTTTTGAAGATTGACTATGAGAAGAATAAAACATAAATTTACATATATAAATAACACTTGTTGATAAAGAATTTGTATTAGCATTTATATTAAAAAGAAAACAGTTGAAGTTATGATCCTATGTAAATTATAGAGTTTTAAGATTAGTTGTTACTTTCTTAGCTTAAATATGCTAAAAAATTGTTTATTTAATGATATTATAATAGTAAAAAAAATACAAAGAATTTCTGGATTTTTGACAATTTGTGGTTAAAATTGATATTGAATTAGAAAGATTTGTATGAACTACAGTTATGAGTATAAACATGAAAATACGAAAAGTAGTTGCCTCTCTTCTTCCTTCACTTTCATGAAGTACTGCTATCTTTTATGATATTGAGTCCATGATTTGGTTGTAAACCTCCGGCAAGGAATCGTGATCACAAGCCTTAACTCGCTCTTCATTGGTTCGAATGTATAGAAGTTATGATTCAGACGTCATTTTCTTCTTGTGATTACTTTATCTAAACCATGTTGGCACAAATATTTTCATCCAAGTTTTCATTTTAAAGGTCAATGTCATAGCGATTACTAGTTCGAATTTTGTTAAAAATCCCTTTTAAAATAATCGATGAAGGAAGGTCTCCAGGTAATAAATCACTGTTAAGCTAGGACTGTATTCAATCAATAGAGCTTAGCGTGTAGATAAATATCCTTGAGTAGTTCCAATTGTTCGACTTTTGTTACTGAGATACCGAATTTCCGGTAGATTTTTCCTGCAGAACTCCAGTTTTGAAGCAAAATCATACTTTTGAATTTAGACGTAAAATTTAACTCACATCAAAGTCTTGATTAGACTAGTTTGTAGAAAAAAATTCCAAAATTTTTTGACAAAGTAGTGTAATCGAAGCAAATTTTCAAGTAAAAAGAGTCACAAGTATGATTTTTGCTTGAAAACTGAGGCTCTGCAGGAAAAATTTACTAAAAATTTGATATCTCAGTAATAAAGATTCAACAACTCGCACTACACTAGAGTATTTACCTACTCATTACGGTCTATCGATTGAATATAGTTCCAATTTAAAAGCGATTTATCACTTGAAGACCTTCTCTCATGAGATAAAGATGAGCCTTTTTTCATAATGACCTTGACCAACAATGAGACGATAAGTCTGTTTTGAAAGTTTTACAGGCATGAAATTAAGTTAATGTTATGGCATGTGTTCACTATCTCAGAATATGTAAATTACTAAGACCTTGATTATGTGTCTGGGTCTTTAGTGATAATAAATTAGACATATGGGTGTACTTTTAGCGCTACAAAAAAACAGCAGCAGTAGCCCGTGATATGTCAAAATAAAAAAAAACCGTTTTGAATATGTATTTCTGCTTAATATATTTTTACACAAGAGACAGATGATGCATAAATCATAACTTCAGTACATGTGAATCGATCGAAGTTTTGCGTCGCATGCATATACTAAAAATATAAATTCAATATCACAAAAAATAGTAGTACTTCAGAGAAGATAATTACTTTTGTCTAGGATTGAATTTATCTATCTATGATAATTCTTTATATTCTTTCATTTAAATAGAATCAACAGGTGATTGTGTCGTCGCTATAAACACTCGACATGTAGCTTTACGTAATGATGCATGGCGTGCTGAAGCATTACATGTAAGACGTGAATATGCCAAGACAAGATATGATATACCTTTATTTAAATTACATGAACTTGATCCAACTAAAGTAAATTTATTTTATTTTATTTTTCTATATGTACGCATTGTTTTTTTTTGTAAATTAAGGTTCTTCATTTATGTGTTTTAAATTGTATGCCAATGGATAATACTCGACGTTATGATATGGCTCGATTATATACATTTCCCGATGATGTAAGAATAGATTTTAAAATGAAACAAAAAACAAAAACTTTTTCATTTTTATTTGTCAGGCTGTTCCTGCTCATCTTTTACGAAATGTATGTGATCAAATTCGTGGTTCACGTGTAATACCAAAACGACTTGATAATGTAACATCGGATGACATTGAAAAATTTCCTCAAATGTTTAAATGGTTAGTAGAAGAAGAAGAAGAAAAACAAAGCCTAGTTTTTGTATTTGAAATTTCTTTTTATTTTTTGTTTTTAGGCCAAAAGAATTAGTTCTTGATGATCTTGATCGAGATAAATTTGTTCGTATTGTACCACCAGAAGAAATACCTAAACGACAAGTTATGCTTGGACAACGAGCTGGAAGACAGCATTATTGGTTTCATGTATCGACTAGTCGACATGAAGAAGTTAAAATTAACTGATCTTATTATTTGTTATTTTTGTTAAGTTCAGATAGATTATAAACTATTAATAAGGAGAACATGATTGTTGTTGTTTTTTTTATTTTAAATTAATATAGACTGATGATTAGTTTATAATGAAAATTTTTCATTAGATCAGTTTATATTTAGTAAAATAAAACAACAAAATGTATGGTTTTTTTTTTTGTATAAGAGTATCTCATTTTTGATAACATCCGTCTGTTTCTTAATTGTTAATTCAAGCGTATATTATGAAATAGAATAAATAAAAAATTGGAACAGAAAAAAAGAACAAAGACAATTAAATACTGTTTTTGAGGATAAGTGTTTGAAATAATAAAACTTATGAAATTTACGTCCTTGTTTTTCTCTCTTTTTTTTTTTTATTTACTTTTGTTAACAGAACAGAAAAGAAAAGAAAAAAAAATAATTTGTTTTCTCTATCAAGAAAAAAAAAATTTTTGTTTTCTCTTTTAGAAGTAACTAACATCCAGTCGTCGTCCCTAATAAGTTTATTTTTTGTTAATAAATCATACAATAACATAAAATTAATGGATTTAATGGACACACAAGATATATCCTGTGTTGATTTCGCTGAATTAGGTATACGTCCAGTAAGCTTGACAGACGATGGCAATGATGTTGATTTTGATGACACAACACATAAATATTTTGGTAAAGAAAAATATCCTGAATTACAATCGATAATCAATGGTAAAAAATTAACAACTGATGACGATGATATATCAATATCTGATGAAGATGATTCGAATTATGAAATCGATCCTGAAACTGGTAAATGAAATATTTAGCTTTGTTTTTCTTTGTTTTTACTTTGAATCTAAACGTACAGACAAAAAAAAAGTATTTCATTATTTTGTTTATTTGCTTTCTTTATTCTTTTTTGTTTTATCAAATTTTATTGACTTAAGACAGTCTTCATTTTGTTCTGGTCATTTCATTGACCTAGTTTCAAGCCTGAAATGTGTCATAGAATGTAGGTTGTAATTTCGACCACATAGAACCCTGTTGAAAATATCCGCAGAAAGACAAAAAAAAAACAAGTATTTTATTTCATTAACGTCAATAGAGTGTTATCGCCGTCATTTTTGTCAATATTTATTTAGCTGTTCTTTTTTTTTTTTGATATTTTCAGGTGAGAAAATCTTTCGTGATTTGCTTGTTGCATCTAGTCCATCCTTCTCATCTTCCAACAGTGTAAGTTAATTTGTTTATCTTTTGTCCCTTTTAAATAATATCTATGAGATATGTCTATTTGTTTTGTTATAGAATTGGATTGAGGAATATTTATCTACTATCGAATTATCATCATCAGCATTATCACCATCATCAACTAATCAACTAATACCATCAGCGATAACAGCATCAAATAGTGATTTATTATTTGAAGGTATTCCATTAAGTAGTGATCAAACAGATTCATATTGGCTTTCAAATTATATTTCTCTTGACGAATCTACAAATAATATTATGTTTCCTGATCAATTTCTATCTGGTCAATTAAATGATGAAAATGATAAAAATCTTCCTCAAACAACATCACCTATATTTATTCCATTATCAAATAAAAATAATCAAGATTCATTAATAAATTTTTTAAGTGTTGCAATCGATGATGAACACTCACTAGATAGTACTAGCAACAGTAGTCGACGACAAAGATTATATTCATCACTTGAAGTAAAATATTTCAAACTAAATTATGTTGTTTTTTTAATGCTTTTTCTTTTCGTTATTTTTTTTAGAGTGATTCAAATACACAAGATAGTGAACTAACATTTGATGGACCTTTTATTGAAGCAAAATTAGAAAAAGTATTGAACAACAAAATTCTAACAATAAACGGAATTGTGTTATTTTTTTTCGAATTTTTAGCTTGAATATGATGAACATTCAAGTTCTCATACATTTGTACGTCGACCAAGTGCACGGGGGAACTATCAAGGACAACAAGATGAAGAAGCTTTACTTCGATATAATATTCCACTCACAGTATATCAGATAACTCAATCAACTACTGAAGAATACAATCGCCATCTAGCATGTTTAAATCATTTAAGTTCTGAAAAAATACATATTATCAAAGATATACGTCGCCGTGGAAAAAATAAAGTATTTCAATCTTGAGTATTAATTGAAATATAATACATATTTGTCTATATCAGATTGCAGCACAAAATTGCCGAAAACGAAAAGCAAACAATGTTGAAACATTACTTGAAGAAGTTGATGAACTTAAACGACAGAAACATGAATTAGAAGAACGTAGAACATTATATCAACAACAAGTATTTTATTTAATATTCATTTCATTTTATTGGACATAATGATTTATTTGTTTCTTTTTGTTAAGATTACTGAAACACGTAGACAATATGAATATCTTCATCGTCAAGTTTTACCTGATCGACAATTACCACCAGCAATTATTGTGAAATAAATTTTTCTTATGTATATAATTATCAATTGAGATGTAAAATTTTTCATTTATTCATACGTATATCGTTGTAGTAGATATGCAATTCTAATTAGAAACAACTTGGTATATGAAGAAAATTAATTATTCGAAAGAGAAATATTTTTTTGCTTATCATGTGATGAGAATTTGTTTTGTATTTTGAAAATTATATTTTTATTTCATTAACAGAATAAATTTACTAATTTATATAAAATATTTCATTATTATTAGATAGTTTTGAGTGATGAAATCAATATAAAAATAGAGCATTTATATTGCGCAGATGGAAATTTATCCCATTAGTTTAATCAACATTATATATATATATATATACTTTAAGTTTTGCAGAAAAGAAATGTAGGTCGTTTTGAAAATTAAAACAAAGGTTGACATTGATTTAATCGAAGAAAAAACCGCGAAAAAAATTCAAGATGTTGTCATTAAATAATATGAATTTTACTGTCTCATTTGTGTTTCATATTAAAGTTCTATTGATTAACTATTAAATATTTTTCTCGATAGATCATTGTGCTAATGACTTACTAGAACAGCGAAAAGACAGAAAATAAAAATGATAAAGAACTTAAACGTGACATGTTTTATCTCGCTTGGTATGATTCAACGACTATCAAGAAGAGTACGTCGAGGTCAAAATTTTCGAACT